TACCTACCTGAAGACTTCCTGGCTCTGGCCGTCAAAGAGAACCATTGCATAAAGAACACACATGCATGTCCATCCCCATGGACACACATATATACACATACACATACATTTATGTGTGCGTATATGAACATACATACATGTATACACACGTTCATATGTACCTACTTGTCTGTATTCAAAAGCTGGCTTCTCTACTTCGTATCTAGAAAGTTTTCATAGGCAATATATGGAGAACTAAGCTGGAAAGAAGCTAATAAAACGGTTTGGCTTCTAAGGGGTTTTTCCCTTCTGAAAAACATACACAACAAGTCATAGGCCTAGTTAACAATTTTCACACGTGCAGTTAGTGACAAAGGCTACCTACTTCATACTGTGCATCATTCTTTACTTCTATTGTTTCACTACCGTTAACACATACTCTTTGCCTGTTGTTAAGTTCTTTGGTGTTTTTTTTGTTTTGTTTTTTTTTAATTGAAAAAAATACATGTTGAACATCCTCAGAATGTGATGATGGTGGAAAGTTGAACCAAATGGAAATGTTGGTTGGTAGAGCTTTCTAGAATGTGTTGGGGGAAATGAAGAGGACTCACATTCAAGTGTCGCCTGTGTCTGTAAATGTTACTCTTCTTTTATCAAGTGGAAGTCCAAGAACTTGTGGTCTATCTTTCACTGTCCTACAGACCCAGACCCACCCAGAATGGCTGGTGGATTTGAGCCACCAACACGTCTGAGCAGCCTAACACATAACACACAACACCACCAAAATCTCTTTCCATAAAAACCGCAAGCCTGGAAATCCTACGGTGTAGGTCTTCTCTGTCCTGTAGGGTTACGTATGAGCCCGGTCAACTTGACATTGATGGGTTTTATTTTATGTTTTGGCAACATCTCAGACTCATTACTGCAGAGTTGGAATTTACTCATAGCTTAGCTGACCTCCAGCAGGTTTTCCAAGGCTGTAAATGAGGAGATTTCTTGTCTTTCTCCCTCAGAGAGAGAGTTGATGGCTTTGAACCACCAGAGAGGTTTGGGTTTGGGGTTAGCAGAGCAACTTCCTACCAACCAGAGTTCATTGTAGAGATTTTTTTTTAAAAAAAGATAAACAGTAACACTTAACCACTGAGTAGGATCAACTCACAACTGACCCTCCAGTGGGTTTCAGAGGCTATACATTACTTGGGAGGAGACTGCCCCGCTTTCTCTCAAGAAGCAAATAACTGGTAGATTCAAACTGCATGCCTTTGGGTTTGCACCACCACTCCTTACCCAGTAGGCTACCGAAACTCCCCTGTTGCTCGTTGTTAGGTGCTGTTGAGTTGAGTATGACTCATAGCGACCCTATAAACAAAAGATCTGAACCTAGTCCTGTCCCGTGCCATCCTCACACTTCCTGACACACAAGAGCACATTGCGACAGTCACCATGTCAATCCAACTGGTGGAGGGTCTTCCTCTCCTTTGCTGACCCTCCACCCTTCTCGACATCATGTCCCTCTCCAAGGAGTAGCCCCTCCTAGCAACATTTCCAAAGTATGTGAGGCAAAGCTTCATCATTCTTGCTTCCAAAGAGCACTCTGAATGCACCTTCTTCATGACATACCTGTTCATCCTCTTAGCTATCCATGGGATATTCAGTGATTTTCTCCAACACCACAGCTCAAAGGCATCAATTCTTCTTCTGTCATCCTTATTCATTGTCCAGGTCTTGGATGCATAGCTAGCACTTGGGAAGACTGTGGCCTGAATCAGATACACCTTAGTCCTCAAACTGACATCATTACTACTCAATAATTTGGGAAGGTCCCTAACTGCAGATTTTCCCAGTGCAACACGTCTCCTTATTACCTGACTTCTCATACCAATGGTGTTAATTGTGAATTCTAGCAAGATGAAGCTGTTGATAATTTTAATCTCCATCCATCATGACACTGCCTATTGATCCAGTGGTAAGAATCATTTTTTCTTGATGTTAAGACACAATCCATACTGAAGGCGGCATTCCTTGATCTTCTGCAAAAAAAATACTTCAAATCCTTCTCACTTTCAGCAAGCAAGGTTGTGTCATCTGCATAACGCAGGCTGTTGATGAGTTTCCCTCCAATTCTGATTCCACTTTTCTCTTCATAGAGTCCAGCTACTTGGATAATTTGCTCAGCATATAGATTAAAGAGATATGGAGATAGAATACAACCCTGGTGCACTCCCTTCCCAATTCCAAACCATGCAGTGCTCCCCTGCTCTGTTCGCACAACAGCCTCCTGATCCAGGTTCCACATGAGCACAATCAAGTGCTCTAGAATTCTCATTCTTCTCAATGTCAGCCACAACTTGTCACAATCCACAGAATCAAACACCTTTGCATAATCAATAGAGCACAAATAGACATTCTTCTGGTATTCATTACTTTCAGCCAAAATCCATCTGATACCAGTAATAATATCCCTGGTGCCACAGCCTCTTCTAAACACCACTTGAACTTCTGGCAATTTCCTATCTATGTTCTTGTCCAGTCATTTTTTAATGCTCTTCAGCAATATTTTGCTTGCATGTGATATCACTGATATTGTATTAATGAGCTCATTGAGTAAAGAATCAGTCCTTTGATTAGTTTTGGAACCTTTGTTCTGGGTCTAGAAGACTCTACCATAAATACTACCATAAATTCTATCATAAATACTCAACTTGCTCAATTCCTCACTTCATTCCAATCACAAAAGTTATGTCTTAGAATGTCCCTACTAGATTAAAAATAGAATCTACATGCTGTCTAAAACCCCAGTTGTCTCCTTGACTTCCCCATCAGAACCTGGCCATTTGCCATTTCTTCTGACGGATAGATCTGTCTTCTCTGTCTCTTGCACATACAAGAGCTTGTCCTCTCCCACTGTGCATTCCCCGATCAGTTCTATGCATGGCCATCTCCCCAACACCTGGGACAGAGTCTGCTAAGAAACTTCTGTTGAATAAATAACTTCAATGAGTATGTTGTTGTTATGTGCCATTGAGTTGAGTAAGACTCATTGTCATATGACCCTATATGAACCACAGCTCCATAGCTCTGAACCCTGCTCTATCTTGAGCCAATCTCACTGTTTCTGGCCCACTTACCCTCATTACTCAAGTTTCTGTGTCAATCCATCTCATCCAGGGCTTTCCTCTCCTACGCTGTCCCTTGGCCCTTCCAAGCATGGTATCCTTCCCCAAAGACTCATTCCTCTTGACCACATGCCCCAAATGGGTGAGACAAGTCTCAAAATCCTTGCCTCCAATGAAAGCTCAGTCTCACTCTCTATATGCACATGCAATGTGTAGAAAGAGCTTGTTACAGTGTCTGGCACCCAGTAAGTGATAAATATTCATTTTTTTATGAGAATGATGTTTCACTCGGTGTTGATGATGATGCGTCAGTGCCACTCTCAGGCTGCCACATTCTGGATTTGTCGTTGACAGTGGACCTCGTGGTTCCATCCCCCACTGTTATCTAGATAGATATAGGCAGTCAGTGCCCTGTCTGACTTCTGCTCCTCACATGTCTCTCTTTGTGGAATTAGGACAAACAATTGGGAACTATTAGTCCTTCAAGAGATTACAGGCTATATTTTAAGCTTCTCAGTGAAGATAAAGCCTGCTCAAGGCAAGAAGACAAGAAAAACTATGGGGTGCAATCTTTTTCTTCGCCAAGCACATTTTATCAGAGCTTTCCCCTCACAGCACAACTCAGACATTCATTTCAAACTTATTTCAGCCTGCCTGACCCAATTAGAGGTATTTCCAATGGCATCATATACATGCGTAAGTTCAGCAAGGAATAAGGAAGAGAAAAGAGTTGAGGCCTTTGAATTATGATGTAGATGAAGAAAATTGCATGGTCTCCAAAAAAGAACAAACAAATCTGTCTTGGAAAAAGGTACAGCCAGAATGTTCGTTAGGGCAAAGGTGGTGAGACTTCATCTAACCTACTTTAAGCAAGTTATCAGGTGGGGACAGTCTGGAAAATGACGTCCTGCTTGGAAAAGTGGAAGGTCGGGGAAAGAGAGAAAAACCTTCGAGGAGATGGGTTGGCATGGTGGCTGGGACAGTGGACTTGAGCACAGCAGGGGTCAGGAGGATGCCCAAGGCCAGCAGGGCTTCATTCTGCTGTCCACGGGGTCGCTATGGGTCAGAGCTGACAGGATGGTGTATATGACCAACAGTAACTCATTCCATTCACCCTACCTGCATTGCAGCTTCCAGAAGTTCACCATTGTTTGTTTCCATTCCCGTTCCCCTCAGTGCCTAAAGAGTCCTGTCTTCTAGTTCTATCCACAAACTCCTATCTTCTTTTCAAAACCCAGCTCCCACGTCACCTTCTCCATGAAGCCCACCCTCAGACCTCTAAGCAGAATGTGACTCCTCTCTTTCTTTCTGATATATACCGTGACTTCCCTCTCCCTCCCACAGTCACCTCACCACAGGGGCTAGACTTCCCCAAGCTTCAAGCCCTCCTGCAGGTGGGCTCTGGCATCGAGCACTGTGGAGTAACAGGTGCAAGGAAGAAGCAGGGATTCTGGAGTTGGTGATGTTAGAGACTGACACAGACCCTTCCTTCAATCTTTCCCCACCCGTTCCTCCCCATCTATGGAAGCCTGTCCATTAGGAGTCAGAGTTTAATTAAGCAGACACAGAGAAACCAAACAATGGCCAAAGGGTTGTCTGCAAACCGCCCAGCTTTATTCTCAGTTAACTCAACAGAAACACATCCCGCTAAACTCATGAGTCTGGTGAATTCAGGCCAAAGTAGGCCTTCCAGTCAGTCATGAAGGATGATGGGCCTTGGGAACACTCAAAATCTCACATGCCAGGGAGTGAATACATAGCAAATACCACAACACAAGTAGAAAGGGACCGGACCTGTTTAAATACAGCGTGGCCCTCCCTCAGCGCAATGGTCTGTCTCTTAGGGGGCTCTGCGGAGCTTAGAGGCCCCCTGCCCAGCGCGCTTAGCACGGCCCCCTCCCCAGCTCAGGAGCACGACGTGTCCTGCAGCATGGACAGGAAGAACCTGCAGATGGAACCCCAGGATTCTCCACAGTACTCCTCGACCAGCTTCCCCTGGTACTGGAGGTCGGCGTCCTGGTCACACTTAGGGTCACTATCACCCTTAGGTGGCATCTGCGTTTCTGCAGGGATGGTTCCTTGGGTCTCAAGAACCACAGTGGGCTTTCGGGTGGTGGATCTGTCGCCGGAGACCAGAGTGGAGTTGAGCATCCTGAGATGGGCAGCCGGAACCTTCTTCCCGCACAGCTTGGTCTTGAGGACCGTCTTGGGCTCTGCGCACACGTTGGCCTGTCGAGCCAGCGTCCGGCCCATCTGTTTCCAGTAGGCCTTGCTTTGGGTGACAAACTCCATGCACAAGTGTGGATCGCCAGCGAAGAAGCAGCTGAACTGGCCTTCCTCTCCGGAGCACTCGACTTTCAACGTGGCCCTGGGCATCTCCTGCACCACAGCCCACCTGCACTCCGCCTGGCCCGGGGTGCGGAAGCGGCCCCTGGGGGCGCGCAAGCGGGGCTGCCCTCCAGGCCCCTCGCCTTGCGCCTTCTTCCTCCCTCTCTCCTTCTTGCCTTCCACAGAGAGCAGCGGGACAGCCAGGAGGACGACGGAGAGCAGGGCGAGGCTCGAGATCTTCATGGCTTCAGCTCAGGGGAACCTGTTTGACAGAGGACAGGTGAGTCAGCGCTGGCCCAACAACAAGGCCGCCCGCGGCAACCTGCCGCCCTGGCACAGACTTACTAAGCTGGGCAACGTTCTCGCTCCCGGGAAGACCAGGGCAGCGGCCTCTCTGTACTCCCATTTCCACTTGACTTGCACTTTGAGTATCACAGACGATTCCCATCCCGCCCTGACCTCCTCCACGCCTCCATTCACACCTTCCCTCACCAGGCATGGCTGAGCGCCCTCTGCAAGACAAGCCTGGGACGTGCGCTTGGGGAATGAAAAGATCTTGCGTCCTGGGTGCCTAAGTGACTATTTACTTGGGGATTCCCAAAGCGTGGACCTGAAGTTGACCCCCTCTCTGCCCTCCACCTGTCCCTCTCCTCTCTGGCTCTCAGCTTCTTTACCTGGAAATCCAGGTGTCAGATAAGGGAAGGACAAATTCTCTCCCAGCTGCAGCCACTAGCTTTCTAGGTCACACTTCCACCTGCGCTAAGATAACCACAGACCAAGAAAGGATGCAGTGGGTCAAAGTGTCCTGAGTGGTGATGTTTGGCGCGACTGGTGAATGTGGTTGGAGTCTGGACGCACCGAGGTGGAGCAGGTGAAGGAAAGGTTGCAGGTTAGAGAGTGTTTCACCTTGACTGGGATGAAACAAGACATAGGGAAAAGGTGAATTTCTGCCGCAGTAGTTTGACTACAAGGTGCAAGGTATCCCTGATTTCTAGACCCCAGTGCTAGGCATACGGAATGTCTCAATCAACACTTTATGCTGCACTAAATAGGATGGCTGTCCAAGGTCAGGAAATAGTGTGAATCTGAACAGGTGAGCATTAAAAACTCCAGGCTTCAAAGAAATCTCATTTCACTTTGACATCAGTGGCCTAGTGGGTAAGGAGTTGTGCTTCCAACCCTAAGATAGGCAGTTCAAATCCACCAGTCACTCCATGGGAGAAAGAGGAGCAATTTTTGACCTATTTATAACCCACTGGAGGGTCAGCTTTGAGTTAGTCCCAAATTAACAACACATAACAACAATAACATGTGCGTACTAAGTAAACAGCCCTGTTTAAACACTCATCTGCTAACTGAAAGTTCAGTGGTTTGAACCCACCAGGCACCACCTGAGAGCAAGACGTGGCAGTCTGCTTTGACAAAGCTCTACAGCCTTTGAAATCCCATGAGGAAGTTCCACCGGTGCTGTAGGGTGTCTGTAATGGGGGCCGACTCAACAGCAAGGGCTTAGCTTTGATTTTGTCTGTGCTAAGCTGAGTTCCTGGGTGGCACAACCAGTAAGGCGCTCTATTACTGACTGGCAGGTTGACAGTTCAAACTCGCTCAGAGGTGCCTCAGGACAAAGTCCTGGTGTTCTGCTTCCTGCAGGTCACGCACTTGAGAACCCATCAGAATATAGCTCTATTCTGCACAAGCAGGGCTCTGTGAGAAAAACAGGCTTGAAGGAAACTGGCTTGGTTGCTAACCACACGGTCAGTGATTTGAACTCACCACCCGTTCTTTGAGAGAAGGAAGTGGTAAACGCCGTGGAGCAGCTCTGCTCTGTCCTGGATATTGCTGTAGGTTGGACTTGAGTGGACAGCACAGCACACAGCAGTGTCCCAGCGTTTGACTGTCCCCGGATTAATTCTTCCAAAGATCCTCCAGGCAACTGTCTCTGTCAGGAGCCCCAGGTAACAGGTGTGGCAGTTAACACTCAGGCAGGTAAATAAACGATGAGAGCCCATGGTGAACAAGATGCCAGCTTCTCTCTGGGCCATCTCTCCCCCTTTTAATCACTTTCCTTCTCCCCTTTGACTAATATTCACGTTGATTCAAAAGTGCTTACGAGCTCAATCAGGTTTTCAGTGGCAGTCAATGAATGATGAATAAGGTATTTCAGATTGCCCATGCCCCGACTGAAAAGAAAAGACCACGTTCTGTCTGAAAAAGTGGGGCAGGCCCAGGAAATGACCCTTGTACCATGCCTACCCTGTGTGTACTGACTCTTTGTAGAAAAGGGAGGTGACAGGTAACAGTCTCAAAAGGTGATCTCCAGCTGCAGAGGACTGAGATTGGAGACTGGACATGCCAGGTGAAAACCCAGGGCTTCTCACAGGTTAGGGGCTTGGTCCTCACAGTTTCCACTGGTTCTAGACCCCTGGGAACTGGAAGGTTTGTGTGGAGCAGGCAGGAGGAGGTAAGGAAACAAGAGAGAGCGAGGCTCTTACCTTGTCCTGAGGCTGCGGGTCCAGAGGTATCCTGGACGCTAGAGGGAAAATCTTGCCTTGCAGCGGGCACGAGCCGAGGGCACAAGGGCAGTGGGGAAGGCTATTTAAAAGTACAAGCTGGTAAGCTGTGGCAACACCCACCGTGGACCTGCCTTTGCTCACGCTCCACCCAACCACGCCCCCTCGGCAGTTTCCTCCCCAGAATGTGCTGGGCTAACGTTCCTGGAGCACTCACTGTGGTCACACGTGTACTGAAATGGAAATGTTACAGTGGCCCCTGCACTAGAATGACACGCCAATTCGTGAAGTGTTCCCTGTCTCTGACTGCAGCAGTGGGCTCAAGTGGCTCAGACCACACGAGGGTGGCACAGGACTGGACAGGGTTCGTGTCTGGTGTTCATGGGGTCACAATGGGTCATACTTGACCACACTTGACAGCAGCAATGCTCCAGGACGGGTTTACATGCACCTGGAAGCTTACCTCCACCAAGTCATCCCCTGGTGCCTGCAGCTCAGACGGGAGCACTTCGTAGCCATGGGAAGACCCTCTGCTGGAAAGACCCATCACTGTGCCGTCCACACGGGGAATATGCACAGCAACCATCACTGTCACAACTGCCCAGCGCTAAGCTCATTAAACCCTCATTAAAACCCAATCACACTCACACTTCGGTGGTACCATTCAAATTCTCCCCATTTCAGAACTGCAGACGTTGTGGTTTGGAGATACACACCTGTTTGTTAACATCAACCTGGGCAGAGGAGGAGCCCAGAGTTCAAACCCACGTCGATCCTCTGCACCTTTGATCTGGACAGTCCTATCCACCCCCATCCCCCAGCTAAATATTTGGGGAATGAATGATGAGAAAACCATCTGGACTTTTGAGTCTGTATTTTCACAACACTAACCAAGTTACTGGTGTGGACAGAGGGTCTGGACAAGAGGGAATTCTTGATGCAAGGACTTCTATGGAAAATATCTGCCTCTGCTCCAAGTGCAGGGACGCCGTACAGAACAGCCACACACCAGCAATGTCTCGGTGCCAGAAAGATCTGTTCCAGCATCTCTTTGGATGTGTGACTTTCCCCCAAGCTACTTCACCCCTCTGAGCTTCCATTGTTCTCATCTACAAATTTCTGACAATAATTGCTATAGTCGTCACGGGCTGTGGAGTTAGGGCTGACTCCCAGCGGACCGTCCAGCAGGTGTTCAGGGCAGGAAATCACACAGAAGATTTTTCCATCTCCTCTCTCAGAGCAGCTGACGAATTCAAACCATAGACCTTTGGGTTGGCAGTGCAACTCCTTATCACTAGGCCCCCAGAGCTTCCTGCTGACCATAATATCTCTTCATGAAGTTTGCAGAAAAACTCCGAGGGCATAGAGTTTAATGTGCTGGTTGCTAACCAAGGAGTCAGTGGTTAAGTCCACCAATTTCTCCAGGCAGTTGCCGCCTGTAGAGATTTACAACCGCAGAAACTCAATTGGGGGGAGCAGGTCCTTATGCATCGGAATCACTCCCAGGACAGTAGGTTTTACTTGGCTTTAGGTTTGCAGCTAACAAGTAGGCACAAGTGGTTAACATTAAATAAAGCAGAATACACATGTTCACAGTGGGGTCTTAAGTTGCATTCTTTAAACTGGCACTTCTCATTTCCGGAATAAACATACGGAAAGATGTGAATGGTGCCATATTTAGTTCTCTTATTGTTTGTGAGTATTTGGGGCAAGTAACTATTCACTTTCTTCTTGGTTGAGTTATTAGAAAAAACAATAGCATAAGCGTAATCGTCAAGGATAACTCACCCTTGGCTTCAGGTAAACAAAAATAGGGAGGGGTGGCGACTGCGGCAAACTGGAGAGGAGGCACTCAACGCTAAAGAGTAAGTGTAGAGCACACAGAAATAGAAGTTTTCAGTATTGGCAGACTTTCTGATGCTTTCGAATGTTGTGCCAAATCCAGAGTTGTTTCTACGAAATTAGGTTGGCAACTAATGCAAATTTTTTTAAAAAAAATAAATATAACAATAGTCCAACAGTACGCAGTCCTTAAGTCATTTTTTTTAGTTTCTTTTCCTTTTTTATTAATTTTAAGGAAAGTTTATAGACACTTGGGGTTTGCAGTCATTCAGTGTTGCACTTTTCTCCCTGCCCACTCCCTCCCTCCCTCCCCCAATTCACTTATGTCCTTGAAAAGTAAAAGAAAAACTCTTTGATTGTCACACAGTTCCTCCTCCCAAGTCCACTCCATTGTGCAGCCTTCATTCTGGACTCCTGTCATGACAGTAATACTCAATTATATATCCTTTGTAAACAGTTCTCTTACTCATCTGTTTCAATGCAATATGTATAATTCCTCCCCTCCTTCTCTGCCTTCTCTCAACCCCAAAGTCAGTCCCATTTTACAATATTTACAAAGTCAGTCCCTAAGCAATATTTGTCCTTTTGTGACAGATATTTCACTCAGCATAATGTCCTCCAGGATCATCCATTTTGGGTGATATGAATTCATGTGTTCCTTGTTTTTCAATGCAGTGTATTAGTCCAACAGTACACAGTCCTTAAGTCTTAAGGTGTGTGATTCCATGCGCCATCCATCCATCAACTGAGAATGTCAAGATCACAGAGCTGTGCATGGTGAGGGATGTTTGCATGAATTCCATCGTGGGTGAATATTTACTCCAAGCATCTCATAAAGTTAGCTCCCCTTGGGTCCCTTAGAGGGTAAAGAGCTGTGCTGCCAACCCAAAG